ATAAGTTAGTCAATTTTACATATACAAATTAAGTGTGGTAGTTGTGAGAGTCATTCAGAGTGGGGAGTGGTTAAAGAAGGTTGGCTTGTGGTCAAAAGTTCACTGGTCCAAATCCCCGTACCGACATCATCAAAATGTGGATGGGAAATGTAAAGCACTCACACCTGCTTCCACCCTCATTTGCCCCACTCTGGGCCCTTGAGCAAGGCCCCTAACCCCCATTATCTGCTCCCCTGGGCCTGGGTCCCCTAGATGTCAGCTCTCTGCTCCACACAGAGGGCTGTGGTAGCTCGGTGGTCTGTGGTTGAGTCAGGAAGAACATCTGGTGTAAAAACAATCGCCAAGTCTTCATGAGAGTTAATTCGCTGTGGTATCTCTGAAGAAGGGAGCAGCTGAAAGAAAACAAAAAGTTGTTGAGTCTAGTGCTACTCTTTTATAAAACTCTTTCTTTAAACTATAGTGTTTACTGTTGGGGTCAACTCTGTTAGCAAAATATTTTATGAACCACTGGATGAGTTTTGACAGGTCCTGCAGTAAATACTCACTGGATGTCTGTCTTTGATTGATGCACTTTTGGTGTACAGTGGTCCCTCGTTTATCGCGGTCCTTGGGACCCGCCTCCTTCCCTGAGACAAACCATGGGCCAAAACTCATTTAGCCATGCTGTGCCCTATGAGAGGAACAGTCGGAGGTGGTGTGACATTAAAGCAGTGGCTAATCATATCGCTAAAGACACAATCTTTAGTGGCTAACAATAAAAAAGTTAGCCATCTTGTTAGCCGCTAAGGACCGTGGCTTTAGCGATATGATTAACCTCTGCATTATTAATGTGCCGCTACCTCCTCTCACTGTAAGACTTGAAAATCTGTGTACAGTAGTTCTTTTTCTGCACGTCCAACTCTATGCAGCCTCCTCCTCTCTTGCTGAACACAAGCAGCCCCTCACTGCCGCTTCACACACGCTTACTAATGTGAAGGCGGCGCAGTTGAAGGGGATTATTATTTAATATATGTAAATAAATGTCTAAAAAACAAACTTTAATATATGTAAATAGTTTAATTTTTAGACATTTATTTTGTAGAGTTACATATATTGTTAATAAATGGGCCTGTGTGACAACTGGGACAAAGCAAATATATTTTTGACATTACTTTATGGAAAAAACATATTGAGATATATATCGTATATTGCCATTTTTCTTAAAATATAAAGATATTAATTTTGGTTCATATCACCCAGCCCTAACGGTGACTGAGCCAATCAGTGCCTAGGTTATTAAGCTTTTCTGACATTTTGGTTCACCGCCAGAGACGTGAAAACACAGAACCTTTAGAAAACATAACGCAGTAGTAACGCTTGAAGTTTAGTTGAAAAAGAGCGATGGTAAACAGAAGGTAACTACCAGTCAGCAGCTGGGAAAACAGAGCTGACGGCCAATCAGCGCCCGGGTCACCGGGTTAACGCTCTGTTTCTTAAAGAGACATGTCCTCAGATGATTTACATGTTCTTTTAAATCTTACGTTTGTAAAGTTGAATTTTCTTTAAAAAAAAGAAAGCTTTTTCATGTGACATGAATTAAATTTTACGTTTGAAAGGCCAGTTCAGCAGTTATGACTTCGCTTTGCAAAAATACTGTTCGGCAGAAAACAGCACCCAGAAGCACTACAGTACAGCACAGCATTAAGGGCAATGTAGTCCTTATGAGTGGTGATGACAGTACAGTGGAGGCTGAATGAGAGAAAACTACAAATTGGTGACGCCTGTCTGAATTATTATTATTTTTTTTTTTTGTGATTAACTTTTTCACATCCACATGGGTACAATGATATTACTATACAGTACACAATTGTGTGTAAAAAAAGAAAGAAAGAAGTATTATATTTTGGACTTTTTTTGTGCACAAAAAACCCCAGCGATAAAGCGAGTCCGCAATAAACGAACCGCGAAGTAGCAAGGGACCACTGTATACCCGACTGAAGATGGCTGCTACACACAACTGACCTGAAAAGAAACACACACAAGAATGGCTCAGACAGTTTTAATAAAATTTGATCTGGTAGAAGCTGAGAGTCTTTTATAAAACATACATCTGAGCGTGACATTACAGATACTGTTATTTACAAGGTTTGACTAAAACAACATCATTGTAAAGAATACCAAGCCTTTTTTTCCATTTAGTTATTAAATTTATTATGTATCTCAGAAAATGTTCATATATTGTGGAGTTTTACAAAGTTTTAGAGGTCCCAACCCCCCACCACCCAAAGATGTAATCCCCTCAAAGCAATCCCGCCTCCTCTGTCATTCCCTCGGAGCCCCCTCCCTTTGTTGTCCTGCTCTCTTTCCTCTCCCATCCTACTTATTCCACCTTACGCCTGATGGAGCATTAAGCCTGAGTGCTTGGGGCAGTTCAGGACTCAGTCTGGCGCAGCACTGCTTCGTTTCCCTCTCCCTCTTCCATTTTTTTGCTCCTTCCTTGAGAATCTGGAATCACTTGTTCCAGCTCGGCTCTTTGTTTTGTTTCTGAGTGGGTGTGAGGTCAGCACTTGCTGCACTTTGGTTAGTCAGACAAAAAGGTCCCGTGGATAACCTCTCCACCTTAGCCTCGGCTTTTCATTTGAAGGGCAGACTGAATGGACATCTACCAGATTTGGATGGTTCAGAAGGTACACATTCCACGCTGAGAGACAGTGGATAAGATGGTGCCCCTGCAAAAAAGGGTAATCTGAGAAATGTGTGGAGGAGGAGAGGAGGGATTTGTGTGAGAGTGTAGCTGCAGTGGTGTGTGCTGCCTATTGTTTTATATTTTCGTTGTTAAGATGAAGTAAATCATCATTTTTATAATTTTAATAAGCCGAGTGAAAAAAAATAGCTGATGTGTCTGAAATGAGAAAAACAGAGACAACAGTGATGAACACCCTCGTTCTTTCAGTGAGTTTGGTTTTACTTTGTCTCTGAGGCTTGACTAGTGTTTTCTCATTGACCCCCCACCCCCCATCTAGTTGGCATTCTTTTGTTTACTTGTTGCATGATTAGGTAAATTGGATTTTCTTGTCAGAAAGGGGCATGAAAAAAACAAGTGATTGGAGTTTGGGTTCAAAAAATGGGTTAGAAGATGGTTTGATTTTCTGTTCTTAGAATATTAAAACAATACATGGCAACCAGAAATCATTTAAGGACCTGTTTGCTCATATTTTGACGCTGGGTGTTGACATCCAGGCAAGAGCAAAGACTTGGTGTGTGTGGAACTGACTGGAACATGGAAGTTGAAGCTGACACAAAATTAATCCTTTTCTATATTTTTTCTCATCCATTTTGACCATTAAAAAAAGGCATGTATTTCAAACATTATTTGTAAAGCAGAAATCAAGTAATGCTCCTTACTGGTGAGAAAATCCAATTACCAAAACATGCGTGGACCTAAAAGAAACGTGACTTTGTGACTACATGATGTGACTACAAAGCTTTGCTCAGCTTTTCGAAGCTTCTCATCACCACAACCGCTTCCTGTATCTCTTCTGTGAAAATGCTTTTAGTGCAGGATGCTACGTTACACCACGTGTCTCGCTCAGAAACTCACAGACCGTTTTTGCTCTGACACCACCTGCTAAGTAGGATTAGCTGGACTCACAAAGACCAGACATGGTGGAGGAAAGGATGGGGGACTGTTGGAGCCACATCAAGGTTGTTTTTTCTTTTTCTGCTTCATCTTTAAGATTCTAACAAGTCAGTCGTAAGAAGATCTCCCTTCTGAAGTAACCATGACATACTGCACAGTGTAGCCATGGCGTGCGTGTGTTGACACTGGAACGTTTATTTTTTCTGAATTGATGAATTTCCCGACATGACCTCAGCCAAGTCCACACTCATATTGTCCTCTGAAGTGGAGTAAATCCTGAATGATGAGCTCAGTGTGAACAGCTGCATTTAGTTATCGGACTATTTTTACTCCGTAACACACCACACTTTACAATCATTTTCAGATATTACCGTAAATAAAACCTTACTGTTATACCTCTGTCTGCAGGATGCGCTTGTTTTTATCAGTTCGGTGACTGAGCTTGAGCATGTTTTTACAGAATATATATTTTTTATGGTTTATGTGCAGATACATTATTTAGCTTCATACAAATAAAAAGGTCTAATGGTGAGTAGAAGAAATCTAAACAGTTTGGTGAGTGGAGCAGTTCTGTGTAGATTTAGCTAAGACACCTTGATGAGTACAAACTAAAAACATGTTGACTGCTGCTGTGCATGCTGCTGTGCATGCTACAGTTTCACATAAAGATTGCACAACCTGTTCGGGCTTGGAGTATGCACTGAAAATGACCCTCAGCTACCGAAAACTAATTGAGCTGGAGCCATTGTTGTGGTAGTTGTGATCGTCTTGAACCCAGATGATGCCAAAAGTTAGTCAGTTGCACATCAAGTGATTACTTTCTGGGAATTTTTATGAAACTCCCGAGATATTTTGCTAACAGACAATGTTGACTCCAATAGTTAATGACAGAATTTAATACACAGATCATGCACAATCTGTTAGCACTTATATATTATGTGTTGAAGATGATTCTCAACTAACAACACGACAAACGTTATCTTATTCGTTGTAACTACTGTTTCATTTTTGTTTTCTAAGTTTGTTAGCTGTGATGACCATCTTGAATCAAGGGGACCTCAAATATTATTTGATTGTTGATATGCACGCCATTATTACTTTCTAAGCATTTGAATAAAATCTGTCTACTGTTTCGTGTTATATTTTAGTGACAGACAGACACATCAACACACACTGAAACAGTAAGTACATGCTTGCCAACATGAAGAGTGGGGGATTTAAAAACAAAACAAACAACAACAAAAAAAGCCACATGTGCCAAAGTGAGTTTGGCACATGTGAGTGAGTTTCACAGAGTTTACTTAATATTTTCTCTCTTTTGTAAATGCTAACAGCCTCCATGTCTTTAAATGTTCTGATCATGATCTCCTCTCGTCAACAGGATCAGTTTGACAACTTGGAGAAGCATACACAATGGGGGATCGAATTTGTGGAGAAGTACACCAAATTTGTCAAGGAGCGATCGGAGATTGAGATCAACTATGCAAAACAAATAAGGTGAGGCGCTCCAGCTGACATACAGTTCCTATTCTGGGTGTCAGTGTGGAGATTTGGACTAAAGATGGTTCCCCTCAGCTGGATCAGATTAAAAAAGGAGAACTCCCATTCAGGTGTCAAAATAAAGCACTAGCGTTTTAGAATGGCGCAAACTAAACAGAGAAGGAGACTCCACAACGCTCTATGGAAATTTTGAGAGAAAATTTGTTGCACAACCTTTTTAAAAAAGTTCAAATGAGGCAACCTGAGGAAATCAAGAACCCTGCAAATGTTTTGAGATATTTTAGAGACTCTCTTGCCAATGGCATTCACCGACCAGTTTTAAAAAGTCACAACCCAATGAGATACTGGCTTTAATCTCACATTCATTCTAATCAAGTGTGTAGAAGCCAAGAAATATCTAAAACAGGCAGAAAGTAGATTGGACATCACTTGGTTAGGCCATTTTACAAGATGGTCATATGATATGGCCACGAAGATGAGGTTGTCTTTAAGTTATTATTCATTCAAGTCATGATTCACCATTCAAGTGCTCATGTCCTGGGATGTGAGTAACCAAAAATTATGCTGATGTTGCAGAACCAAAGAAGGCCTTGAGTGTAACTCAGCACTGTTCATGTGAAAGGATGTGATTAAAATGTGTGATGAAAATCCTTTGTTGTGCATCCCACTGCTGTTTGGTCCAAAGACCATCTGTCTACATCTACATCACACCATCAAACCTAAATGCTGGTTTACCCAGACATATATCAACCATTAAGACTCAGCTCTGAATCAAAGTGTAGTGAAAACTCATGTAAAACTTTGCTTTAAGGTCTAAAATGCTGTCAGCTCTAATGACCAAAACATTGAGTTATCTGTAATTCAAACCTCCTGCGGTGCAGCTGCAGTAAAATGGGTTTAATATATTTTTACACCTTAATTTAACAGGTTTCATGCCTTTTAACAGAACTAACTGACATGTCATATAATTTGGGTTCTGCAGTGATAGGAAATTACAAAACGCTCAAAATGTTTCAGTTACTTGAAGATTCAACACTTTATCACCACAGAGTCTGGTTGATGATCTGTAGCTCACAGTTTTATCCTTTTATGGTGTTTGGAATGCATCTGGAGTTGATCTGTGAGTGTCTGCAGTGAACAGTTTTCTCTCTGGTTGTTCAAATTTATGATGATGCAACAGAGTATCTCTCAAAATCTTGGCTGGACTCACATGTTGAGATGAAGTTTCTGGTTTACTTTGTTCCCAAAGTAAAATATCTCTAAATGACATGCTGAGATAGCAGATGATGCTTACTGTGGTGCACACTGTCTGTCACAGCAGCAGGAAAAGTTGCACTTTTATATCCAGACTCAGCATTTTATGATGAATAATGAGTCCTAATTATTTAATTCATGCAACAAGATTTTATCTAATGCCCTAAACTTGCAATAAAATAAACAACATAAACAACTTTTGGATTCATACATGTCTTCTTATATTGTAAAAAGTTACATCTTGTGATGAGTATGACATAAAGTTTTTCCTGTAATGCATATGTTTTTGGTTTGAACGGTGGTGTTGTTACAGCAGTGTTAGCACGGCGTGTGCTTTATGTTATGGCTTTGTTTTATTTTTTGCTGCTGCATCGTATTTGTGGCATTCAGCAGCATAGTTTTGTCTCAGTTCTTTTATGAGCCTGTGGTAATGTCAGTCTTCTGTCAGCATCTGACCATGGTCTCACCCACCACCTGTAGCCTTTTCTTTTTGTTTGTTGTTTATGTTCAAATTCATCCATCCATCTATTATCTTTACCCGCTTATTCCATTTTTTGGTTCACGGGATTCGTCGGTGCCCATGTCCAGCAATCACTATGCGAGGGGCGGGGTACACCCTGGATGGGTCGCAAGACCATCACAGGGACACATAGAGACAAACGAGAAACAACCGTTCACTCTCTCACTCACACCTAGGGACAATTTAGAGTTACCAATCAGCCTAACATGCATGTTTTTGGTCTGTGGGAGGAAACCGGAGCACCCGGAGAAAACCCATGCATGCACGGAGAGAACATGCAAACTCAACCCAGAAAGGCCCCTGGACCGGGGTTTGAACCAGGGACCTGCTCGCTGAGAGGCAGCAGCTCTACCAGTTGCGCCACCGTGCTGCCTGTTCAAATTCAATTCAATTCAATTCAAAAATAATTTATTTATCCCAGAGGGAAAGTAAATGTTGTTATAACTCATCATTCTGGTTTCATTAATGAGTTGTTATAGATGCTGATGGCTGTGGGCAGGAAGGATCTCTTGTAGCGGTCTGTCCTACAACGGATTTGAAGAAGCCTCTGACTGAAGACACTTTGTTGTTGTATGACAGTCTGACTAAGAGGATGCTGAGGGTTGTCTATAATGTTCTTCATTTTATGAAGAATCCTTCTTTGAACAATCATCTCCAAAGGTTTTAGAGGAGTCCCCAGAACTGAGCTACCCTTCTTTATAAGCTTGTTGATCATTTTAAGTCACTTGCTCTGGTGCTGCTCCCCCAGCAGATGATGTCAGAAGAGATAGCACTCTATACAAAAGACTTATAGAAGAAATGCAGCATCTTGCTGCAAACATTGAAGGACTTCAGCTTCCTCAAGAAGTACAGTCTGCTCTGTCCCTTCTTGTAGACAACTTCACTGTTGCATTTCCAGTCCAGTCTGTTGTCCAGGTGAACTCCAAGGTATTTATACTTCTCCGCCACCTCCACTTCTTCTCCCATGATGGAAATAGGGTTGGACCTGTTCCTGATTCTCCTGAAATCTACAATCATCTCCTTTGTTTTGTTCACATTCAAGATGAGATGAATGTTTCCACACCATGCCACAAAGTGGTCCACCAGTTCCCTGTACTCAGCTTCTTGTCCATCTCTGATACACCCGACCACTGCAGAGTCATCTGAATATTTCTGCAGATAACAGGAGTCTGTTTTATACTGGAAATCCGAGGTGTACAGAGTGAAAAGGGATGGTGAGAGTACAGTCCCCTGTGGTGCTTCTGAACTACTGACCACCTGGTCAGAAACACAACCCTTCAGTCTCACAAACTGTGGTCTGTTTGTCAGGCAGTCTTTGATCCAGACGATTGTTGAGGCCTCCATCTGAGTCTTCTGGAGTTTCTGACAAAGCAAATCAGGCTGGATTGTGTTAAATGCACGGTTGCAGACACACAACAAAAAAGACAAACACACAATGTTGCAGACTCTTGTAGACATTGTTGATACTCTTGGTGCGCTACATAAACTCCACCCATGCAAAATGTATGCAGCATCAACCACATGATATTGTAAATGTTGTATTTATTTGGTGCACCTTCAGGACTATGGTAATTTACAGCAGCTAGTGTTCAGTGCCACAGCCCTGTGATCCTTAGGTCACATGTCCGAGCCCAGGTTGCATTAGAAAGGGCATCCGCACTAAAACAATTTCCAAACCATATAGGCGAGTTTGCTTAAACCAGCAATGAGAACAGGAAATAGGTGGAAGAGAACTTGGAGAGGTGGAGGTATGCACTTGAAAGAAGAGGAATGAAAGTCAGCCGTTTCCAGGTCTCTCTTGTAAATGAGTCCCCGAGGCTCTATGGGATTAACCTGTATAAATAAAGGCTAAATGAAAAAGTAAGACAGAGTACATGTGTGAATGAGAGGGAGGCCGGTGGAACAGTGATGCTACAAGGACCAGAGGTCACAAAGGTGTAGGACTTCAAGTACTTGGGGTCCACTGTCCAGTAAAATGGGAAGTGTGGTAAAGAGGTGAAGAAGAGAGTCCAGGCAGGATGGAGTGGATGGAGAAAAGTTTCAGGAGTGATTTGTGACAAAAGTGTGTCAGCAAAGGTCAAAGGAAAAGTTTTCAAGACAGCTATGTTGTATGGCCTTGAGACAGAGACGTGGACAAAAAGACAGGAGACAGAACTGGAAGTGGCAGAAATGAAGATGTTGAGTTTCTCCTTAGGAGTGATAAGGATGGATAAGATTAGCAATGACCTCATCTGAGGTACTGCACAGGTTGAACAACTGGGAAATAAAGTTAGAGAGGCTAGACTGAGATGGTTTGAACATGTCCAGAGGAGGGACAATGGGTATATTGGTAGAAGGATGTTAGAAATGCATCTGCCAGGAAAAAGACAAAGAGGAGATGTATGAATGCAGTTAGAGAAGACATGGAGGTAGTTGAAGCGAGTACAGAGGATGCAGAGGACAGAGTGAGATGAAGAGTATGACTCGCTGTGGAGTTCACTGAAGAGGGAAAATCCGGAAGAAGAAGAAGCAGCTAGGCGAGTTAGCTTGCTGTGGCGACTCCTCCAGAAAGGGAGCAACCAAAAGATAAATAACAACACTGTGGCACATCTGCCAAGAATACCAAGGAATTTACCTTTTTAGAGTAACTAATGTGCATGTGTACAATCGGGCACCACACCCCCAAATAGTTTCATAACTATGTCTTTAGCACCTACATTTTACTGACTGGTAGAAACAAACATATTTGTAAATTTGTTTTATTATTTTATTTAATGTTGTTAGCAACAAGTAATGTTCCCAGGTGTCAGAATGAATGAATGAATGAATGAATGACTGCAGAGCATGGCTGAAACAGAACGTTGTTTACACTGAGTGTGTTTCAACAAACTGGAAGTAGGCATGAAACTATCTAGACCATAAATCATTCCAAAATACAGTCGTCCCTCACTACATCGCTGTTCACTTCTTGTGGCTTCACTGTATCCAGGATTTTCTAAACCCGTTTTTATATTCTGTGTACTGTACATGCTGTGCAGTACTGTGCATTCATCTCATCATCTTCATTGCTATCGCCAAAGTGCTTAAGAGCATATGAAATGTTATAAGAGTGTGGAATGGTTAATAAGAGCGTGGGACGGTTTTATAAAGCTTTAAATATATATATATATATAAATAATAAAATAATTATAACGCCACAACTTCACAGATTTTCACCTACTGTGGGGGTCTCTGGAACGTAACC